TAACACGGAAAAACGTGCGTTAACCCTATACTGTCAAGCACTGAGAATAGTCAATCTTGCTGTTTTACTGATGGCTTTTGTTTTGTTTGTTTCCAGGAATGTAGACAAAAGTCTTAAAAAGATTAAAGTATTTTTCAGCATTTTTCATATATCAAAAATTAAGTTGCTGACAAGTTTTTAGCTAACATAATTATATCAAAAATAATATGTTTTAATCTTTTAACTATACATACATAAAGAATAATTTGTTAACGACGTAGAGTTTAAAAAAACATATTTGTGAGATATAAGAAGCCTCATAAATAAGGCAAAAACTGGTTTATTTTCTTCCAAGGTAGTAATAATGTTAATGTAGTTCTGTAAATTGAAACCACGGAATATTTCTGGAGACTTTTCTGTCATTTCGCTTGTATTTATTTGATTCCCTATGTCCTTTAAGCTTTATATGTACACTTTGCGCGGCTGTGCTGTAAAGCAAATTTCATTTCTATTTCTATATTTAGTTACAAGTTGTTTTTATTTATTTTACACTGTTCACTTTATAGAAGAAAAGAAAGTGGTTATCATCATAGCCTGTATATAGAATGATATTTAAGACCATTTTCTATGACAAAAGAAGAGTGTAAAAGTGGTTTATCATGAAATATCTATTCCTATTTAAAGGTTTCTGATTCCATTAAAGGAACTCTACTGATGTCCAAAAGCCGAAAAACATAAAGTTTGAATTACCTACATAGATCAACTAGTACACTTTAAACAGAAAGATCTATGTTTTATGATATTTTAATAATTGATTTAAAGAAATGGATTTTAAAAGCATGGTAGATGCTTATCTAATGGAGAAAAGAAGTATTGAATGTGAAATGATTTGTCATAAAAGTAACAAAATGTGGACAAAGTGGTGAAAAGGCAAACCGTGTTTTATATTGAATAAGAGTATGTTAGATGCTTATGTTATGAAGAAAGCTTCAGTGAATATGGAAAGTAACAGAATGTAGACAAAAATAAATAAAGGTTTTATATTGTTTTAGTTATTGATTTATAGCATGTAATATATGCTAACAGGGTTGAATATGAAATGATTTGTCATAAAAGAAACAAATGTAGACAATTTTAATAGAGAAAAAGGCAAACCTGTGTTTTATGTTGTTTTAATTATTGATTTAATTTAAGCATTTTGATATGCTTTTAACATGAAGAAAGCACCTTTGAATGTGAAAAATTTGTCATATAAAAAGAAAGAAAAAACGTAAATAAACTTGTATTTTGTCTTCAATGCAAAATACTGATTAAGTTACTGTATTAATGGTTCAGTAGTAAAAGATGGTTTAGCTGATAATAATAACCATTGAGGACAGTGATCAGGAAACTGTAGCATAAATTTGCATTAGTGAGCAGTAGAGAAACATTTTTGATCTTTTATGCATAGAAAAAAAGTTGCTGCAGTTATATTGTTTAGACTGTTCATGCATAATATGGTTCTTCTTATAATATGGCCGATATGTTTTGATAAGGAAAACTGTAGCAAAAATTTGCATTAAGGCACAAAAGAGAAATGTTTTTATCCTTTTTCTAAAGAAAAAAAAATGCTGCTCTAAAGTGTATTGTTTTGAGACAGTTCATGCAAAAAAAAAATGGTTAAGCTTACAATACGGCCAATATGTATCATTAATACGGAAACTGTAGCATGAATTTGCAAATATATTTGCATATAGGGGAAAAAAAGAGAAAAACATCAGTTGGGTCATTAGTGGGACTGGAAATAGATAATTTGTAGTATAATTTATTGATTTTCTAGGTGCAGAAAAAGATGATGTTAATATTTAATTAGACAATTCATGCAAGGTACTTTTGAAATCATGAAATAGTAATAAGAATCTATGATTTATCATTTCTTTTCAATGCAAGTGGATTTGGATGAGAAAAAAAGTAAATTCATACATTTAGGAGCTTAAATGATTTAATTTGTTCTCTAATGAAATATTGGTTAGCATAAAAAGTAAATTTGCAAAGGAGTGGATTATATGAATTGATAACTGATGACCAATTGGTAAGGATGTATTTTTTCATTGAAATGATGTCATCATATATTGCAGGATGTTACATCATATATAACGTATATCTATTAAGAAATTACTGTTTATTAAAGGCACAGTCCATATTTTTGTAATTCTTTAAATATGTCAAATATGTGTTTAATAATGTTTAAATAAAGGATTAAGTGCATGTTAATTACTTAATAACTGAGAAAAGTAGCACATACTGGCAGTTATGTCTCATAATTAAAGGTAGCAGAAGTAGTATTTTGACTTCCATACAAAATACTATATTATCCATGATAATTATACGGATTTGCGATGCAAATTATAGTTCATGTATATAGCAAATGAGTATGTTTTTGAAAAATGTAACAAGATACTAAAAATAAACAGTTTGGAGAAATAAAGATGATTTCTGATGAATAATGGGCCTTTAAATTAGGCAAACTCGAAGACAATTATAAACACTTACCCTTACTGTTGAGGATCCAGCAAGAGATTTTGATTTGATTCTTTCATGAGGAAGCTAGCTCATGATGTTTTTGTTTGTGCAAAATTAAATGCACGTAATGGTATCCATATTAAGGTCAATGTCAAAAAATATGATGTACCTTAAATACTTAAATGTTGCAATTCGTTGATTCTATTCTTTTATGCTAACAAGCTATCCCGCTCAAGTCTTATGAAGACTTGGATAATTTGTTCTTCTCTGGTGATAAAATGCATGCACAATATCTGAAAACTTGATGTTCATACTTAAATACTTAAATGTTGTTAATTATAAAGCTTTAATACTAACATTTGTGTCTAAAAAATATCATTTCTATTATTTAAGATCAAATGTTAATGTCCCCCGCATGTTTTTCATGTATTTGATTTGTGCGATATTGATCAATATTGATCTGTGCCGAGACAAAACATCACAGCTTTTTTATGACCCTTAATTGTTACGTACACGGTGGTGCGACACGTTTTGCTAATTAGTTTTATCATGGTTTACGACAGAATTTTATCGTGGAACGGTTACCTCGGTTTATTACGGTGTTTAGTGATATAACGAGGCTGTTGTTTTTTATAGTGATACGGAATATAACCAGGCATTGTGAATGTTCCTGATGACATCGTAACGGGGAAGGGGGTGTGTGTGTGGGGGGGGGTCTCATCAAAGTTAATTTGTCTGTATCTGTTTTATGTAAGTCACTGTTGTTGTGTATCAATACAGTTTTACAAAGTCAGCGTTTCATGAAAGCTGGGAAATCCAATTAAAAGGCAGTATTTTGTTCTGTTATGAATTGTGACCTAATGAATGATTTAGTTTAATAAACAATATTTTATATTATTGATTTATAAAATTTTGTATTTTAGATATTAAAGGAACTCCACTGAGGTCCATGGCAAAAAGCCTAAAAACATATTTATTAAAATTTGAATTTCGTAACATAGATCAGCTGGGCACTTAAAACAGTAAGAGATGCAAAAGATAATTTAGAAATACTCAGATTTAATAGTATTAAACCAAGACTCATTCAATATCCTCTATATATACACACACAACCATATACAATCAGATTATTGCAAACGCAGTCCATCCAGTAGTGTTTATTCTGATAAATAATGCATCATTTTTGGAAGTCTGGCGAACATTTTGTGTTTTGGCTTCATCATATTAGATGTTATATATTAATTTCCCTGTCTGGCAGGAAAAACATTTCACAAAATGTTAGTGTTGTTGTTTTCAATAGTAAATAATATTCACCAGACTATTTTTTTGTGTCGCCTTGAAAAGGCAACATAAGGGGGTTCCCCTAAGGCTTGTCTGGAGCAAAACTCGGTCACTATAAGTCGGATTGACTCCAAACTTGGTATGCATGCTTCTTTCAATGACCCAAAGTGCAGTGCACAAGAATTGTTACTCTGTACTTCATAATTTTTTAGTTTTATAATTGTCCTTTGTTAATTTTCATACTTTATTTTGTCCTGGCCATTTCTCCTACACTTTAAAAGTTCTAGTCAAGTATTGCATGTGTTAGCAATATTACCAAAAAAAAAAAAAATGAGTCAAATGATAAATGACAAGATAATATTACATGTTGTTATGTTATGCTATTTAATATCTTAAATGGACTTGTCCATCATTCAATCTGAACGAAACCATTAATCACTTTCTGGGGGAATTCCAAAATATTTTACTGATGGAATAGTGCACAGTGCATACCATGATGACATGGCATGGATGTGCTGACTCTGCACATCTGTGTTGTCAAATCATGGTTGGCACTGATCAAGCCTTGATGGACTCAGCATGGATGTGTATGCTGATCTGGTTCTATATTAAGCCTAAGCCTGTTGAAGGCAACTGATTCTACCCATGCAACAAGGCTGAGATCAAACCATCCATCTGTGCCGACTGATCATGGTCTGCACTGTTCCTTATTCAGTCAATACATGTTTTGTAATTGTCCCTAAAAATGATTTTATGGTTATGTCCAGATTGAAAGAAAGACAGGGAGCGTCCTAGGCCAAGTGGTTAAAGTTGTTGACTTCAAACTCCTCACTGCTGTGGGTTCGAATCCCTACAGGGACTTTTGGATTCTGCCACGTTAGGAAGTTATCCAGCTAGCTTACTGAACGTCAGTGGTTACACTTGGCAAGTGGTTAAGGTCGTTGACTTCAAACACCACTGCTGTGGGTTTAAATTCCGACAGGGACTTTGAATTCCGCCATGTGAGGAAGTTATCTTACTGAACATCGGTGGTTATGATCAGAATGATAGACAAATTGTCCATTAAAGATTTTTAATTTAATATGAATGAAATAATTGTTTACTTTTATGTATTCCAGGGATATATTAGATTTTCCGTAATTCTTAACCAATTTATTTTATTCTCAATTTTTTTTCCGCACTGCATATCAAAGGTTTCTATTATAGTGTCTAATGATTTACATATTTCTGTATTTCAGGATTGTTAAACATGGAGATTCTCGAGAAGGATCTTAAGATGGTAAATGGCACTGCCATGACGATATCCATGTGCTCCGTTACCATGGAAATGATGGTATATATATGCCTTTATAACCTTGCTTTTATATTAAATGATTTCAAAGAAAAATCGAATTTTACCTTCAAGCAAAGGCTTTTCAGTACTTTGAATACTCTGGGGACGGAATATTTTTTGTTTCGATAATTAAAAAAATCGTCTTTCCTGAGTAATCATATTAGGTTTTAATAAATATTAGCACTAACCTGGTTTGATCAAATTCCGTTTTTGAAAGGAAAGGAGATAAGCTACCTTTGACTTGGAGAATTTATTTAATTAAATTTCATAAAAAGCTTAATATTTCATAATTCAAAAATATGCCACCTTAGTGCATATATTTTGATGTGAAGTCATATGCTATGTACAAACATAGTGTAAAGACATGCTATATCAAATATTATAGCATAAAATCGGCTATTTTTCCCTCTTTTGCCCATGTTATAACGGGGCCAAAACCATGCGTTAACATAGTCACGCGCTCTTGTTATAGCCCGGTTTTACCTATGCGCAATACATTCAGGGCCCAGTAAACAAACAAAAAATGACGATTTGGCCTGTTTGCCAGAGTCTTGTTATATTGGAATTATTAATTCGAGGGCATCAGTCGCATAACGGCGAGCAGCATTCAAGTAATTATGCCGGCAATACGGCTTATAGACATCGCCGCTTATCTTGGTTGTCGCCCTTTCTTAGAAACGGACAGTTGTCAATGTAAACAAATAGAATCTGTCATTCAGTTTAATCCTCCGATTAACTTACAAAAATGGAAAGCACAAAATGAATATAAGAAAACGTTGTTTTATTGACGTTTATATTGATAAATTTTCTGTATGTTTCTTTGAGAGAATAATGTTTTATGTCTGATTTTTTTTTAAACTTGCGTGCTTAAAAAAAAACGATTCTGAATTTGAATCTGATGTCACTGATCTTTTTCCTACCGCCAACCTGTAATCACTCTAGGAATTTCTGAGGCGTCTGTTTTGTCTTGGGGAGAGTAATATTATGTTTTTCTTAACTTAATATATCCCCAAAGTTAAACTTTATTAAATCAATTAAAATTCGAAATTTCGTTCGGTTCTCAAGTTGTTGGCCCCGGAAAAAATAAAACGCATACGTAAAACATGTAGAGTTGGATAAATACCGTTCAAGCACAAGGATTTTATGTTTGTGTTTTGTATATAATATACATCATGAATCTGTTTTAAAAATTTTATGCTATAATAGCGTCAACGCACGTTTATTTCGTGTTATAAAGTCTGCAGAGTCCCTCTGAACTGTTGGAGCCCTCGCCCTACCGGGCTCGGGCACCAACCGTTCCTCGGGACTCTGCAGACGTTATAACACGGAAAAACGTGCGTTAACCCTATATTACGCTTTTTTTTTTACTTTAAATGGTCTTTAATTTTGATAAGTGATAAATAGAATATCAAAGTCTTGTAAATACTGAATATATTGAACTTGTTGAATAAAATAATATGCTTGCTTGAGGCTCGGGCAATATAATTTTATTCAACTTGTTCGCATAATATAATTTTATTCAACCTGTTCCCATAATATAATTTCATTCAACTCATTCAATAATTTCATTATTGAACTTGCACGCATTCAATATTCTCTTATTGAATTTACATGCATTCAACATCCTCTATATATTTTAGGAGCTACTTAATAGAGAGAATTTTAAGAAGGACCTGGATGAGTTCTGCGAGAAACAGAGCTGTGATGTGATCGTCATCATGACCTTGGTAAATAATGACGAGGGTAAACCAGAGAGACAGATTGCCGTTTATTCTAAAAATAGAATATTTCGAGACCAGGTATATAACTATTTTATTTGTTTGTATGGTTTTTACACCAAATTTAAATGCATCTTTGATCATATCATGGTCAGTCAAGCTTACTGGCTTTCCTGGATAACTAACCAGTAATTACCAATTTTTCCGGAAATGACCGACCACTAATCCCACATGATTGCTTAATCAGCAATGGGAGACAAATGACCATAAGACTCAAAGTCTGAGATCATTAGACTGATCCGGAATTAAGAATATTTTGGGTTTTTCCAAGCTAATCCGGGGGTACAAACAAACTTTTACACTTACAGCTTGGAAAACATTACAACAGGTTGACTAATCTATCGTGATTGGTATTGCACTGCAAAGCTATAACAGAAAAAGTTTGTTTGTACTGGGGATAAGTTTAGAAAATCCCAATTTTAACAAGTTCTGGATAACATCTAGTGTGATGTAGAAGTTATTTGGTTTCACCCATGGATCAAACTGGTAACCCTTAGATGGGGCTGACTGCTGAGATATGACCAAAATGTATGTTGAAATCTGCTTAAAAATCAGCCAAACATACGATACTGGGTTCACTATTAGTGTGTCAAACCTGTTTCATAAAAGAAAAGCAAGTTTCGTTTTCATTTTTTTGTCAGAACCACTTACATAGATATATTTGCTCTTTTGAAGTCAACAAATAATGAAAATGACCAATAAAAAATGCAATTTCTACCTCCTTGAGTAAAATCTCCCAAGGGGCTTAATACAAGAGAAAATAGTAAACTCTTGAAAGATAACCTTTGTCATAAAAGTTGACATAAAAGTGAAAAAGCATTCCCACTGGGTTAGTTATTCAGATTTCATAATAATTCTTATCTAACATACTAATATGATGTAGGGGAATTTATACTCTGTCACAAAAAGTCATATTGGTTGAAAAAAGAGAAGGTTTTGCAGTGCAACACTCTTTGAGAAACAAACAATTTAATTGCGGAGAGATGTTGCTCTGAAGATGTATAATAATGTAGTATAATTGTCCGCAACCATCTGTCCGTCCATTACACTTTCATGTCAGGTCCATAACTTTGGAACGCTGTAAAATAAAACATAATAAAATTTACAAGATTAAATATATTATTTCAGATATCTGACACCATGGACAACTCTGAGGATATTGATCTAGGGCTCGAACCTTTATACCCACCATTTGAGGACATTTCAGTTTTTACACAGAACAATGTACAGGCTTCAAGGAAAAAGGTGATGCCAATCCTGAAGTCATTTCTTCATGGTGACATCACGCCTGATGTTTCCAGCAAAGATTTCGTAACACAGCATTCTGTTGCCATGGCAACGGAAGGATTCAGTCATCTAGAAGTGGGTGAGTCTGAAACTGTGCCTGAAGAGACTGAGACAGAAAATCGTGTGAAATTCACGATTGAATCCTTGGAAAGGAGTTCAACAGACGAAGAGTTAGTGCCAGTTGAAAGTTTCGGGGAAAGTTATAAAAACTATGATTCTGTGGATTTGGATAGTTCTGGCAGTATTGGGGTTAAAAACACTGTCCACGTGCAGCAGATCCCCCATGATTTCGATCTTTCAATTAAAGGTGGTACCGCAGACAGTAACAAAACGTCACGAAATACCCAGAATCCTTTTGGAGATTTACCGTCGTCTGATTTCAATTCAGCCTTGTTGTCATCTGCTCATTCTAGTAACATTTTTGATCTTGGAATATCTGATAGTGAACTTGTTGACCCTTTTAGTTCAGTTGAAGATTCTGCAAATCCAGATTCTGTAGTAAATAGCCCAAAGACGAATATATTAGGTAAAAGTAGTGAAAATGAAGCAAAATCAGTTGACATTAGTGAAGATTTGGAACCACATGTTAATGAAGTGGGTGAACTTGAAGGAAATAGTGAAAACCAAATTATATCTTGTGATACTGGAAATCCAATTGTTAAAGAAGCTTCAGTGACTGAAGATGATGAAATATATGCTCAAAATGGAAATCCGTTTTTAAGTGATGATTCTGAGAGGTCAGAACAGGTTGTGAATTTTCAATTGAGTGAGTATGGTGAGGATGGTAACGCAGCTGACGATTTTTTCAATACGAATGACAATAATGCCAATAAATTTGGTGCTGTTAACTTTCTAGATGTGAATACACTAAGGATTGATCATCCGCCAGCTCGGAAATCAGCAAGTCTGATTGTCGAGTGTGACGATAAATCGCAGGCTGATGATTTAGCTGAACTTGAAGAATCGGAACTCTTTGATAAAATGAATACACCGGGTCATTCCGGTGAAAATAGTCCATTTGCAATGTCTGGTTTAAACTCCCCTTTTATCAATTCTGGCACTGGCACCCCTTTTGAGTTACCATCGAATTACCATTCCAGAACGACCTCAGAATCCGGTTTCCCCGACATTGCTCCGCCTCCAAATAGTTTAATGGATAACGGTTTTAGTGAAGATGATACGGACAGACGGTTGCCGAGTTTTAATAGTGCGGAAATGGTAGACCGAATTCAGCAGAAAAAAGCTTCTCTAGGAGGTGGTCAAGGTCTTTTCGATCTGGATGAGAAAGCCGAAGAGTCCAGTACTCCGTACACACCTCAGAATAGTTACCGTGAAGAAGGATTGTTCATGCGAGATAATAGTCTTCCTAACCTTATGGATTCCGATTTTGTTGAAAAAGTTCAACAGAAAAGAAATTCTCTTTCAGCTAATCTTCTATCCTCAGACACTAATGAGAAGACAGAAGTTAAAGTCTCCTCAACAAATCCCTTCGGAGATTTTACTGATGCTACAATAGTATCAAATGTGCCATCTTCCAATCCGTTCTTTCAAACCAACGAGCAAAGTTTAGAATTTGATCCATTCAGACCCATAGGCACATCTGCTGATGAAGGTAGTGAAGTTGTGCAAGGTGGTGCATCTAATCAGGATTTTATGGGAGATTTAAGTGAATTTAAACCAACTAGTGAAGTTACTGGTACAAATGAAGACATTTTGGATATATTTGGTGATTCAAGCACAAACAAAACGGAAACTCTTGTACAAAATCAAACCAGTTTTCAAGATTGGTTTGGTTTTTCAAGCTTTGATGGACTGGCTGAGTCCAAACAGGACCAAACTTTGAATCCTTTTCTGGCAGAGTTTGAAAACAATGCAGAGACTGAACAAGATTCTGATGATAAAAATATAGATACAAGAACTAACATGTCTATAGAAACTAGTGAATTTATTGAGCAGCCAGTTGAAACAAACGAAATTAACGACCAGTCTGTTGCAAGTGGAGAAAATGGTGACCAATTGGTTGATACTAATGAAATTATTGACCAGTCAACACTGAAAGCACTGAATGACTCAGCCAATTTAGAAGCAGCCGACACTGTCTCAGAAGCATTAGCAAGGGAGATAATTCATAACGCCATAGAAACGTTTCCTGACTTGTCCAATCCTTTACTTGCGACAGAAATGATGCAAAGAAATGATGCTGATTGGACAGAACAAGGTTCTGGGGATTCTGGGATAGGCTCTACCGGATCTCCACAGCAAGGTATGTTTAATGTTTATATTTTAAGATGGTGTGCTGCTTTAAGATGTTGGTTTCATAGTAAAATCAGAGATCAAAAATCCCACTTGTCTGCTCGTAATAAGGAGTAGAATTTTATAAGAATTTGATACAGGACGAGTAGAAATATGTTGCCTGCACATTGGATTTAGAAGCTACTCGTCCTACAGGATGAGTCAATCTGAAAATATTTTCGATGCCTGAAAATTGGATGAGTGACTCTGAAAATATTTTCGATGCCTGAAAATTTGATGAGTGACTCTGAAAATATTTTCGATGGCTGAAAATTTGATGAGTGACTCTGAAAATATTTTCGATGCCTGAAAATTGGTGACAAATCATTGGATGTCGGGGACAATCAGTGAAATCTGTTACAGGATTATGATGACATTTGTCAGAGCTCGTTAGTTAATTGATGGTTATCCGTGGCTTTAATCATGACTGCCTGATTCTTGTAAAATCAATATCACTAAGATGCTGTGTATTTTTGGAAAAGGCAAACCATTGTCCTTGTTGTCCTAAGATAGGAAGATAAATTTTCTCATACAATGTAAATGATATTCATAAAGGATATTGAATGAGTGTAGATTCAATACTAAATTTATTTAAGTTGATAGGACTACAATGGGCTTATTTTCCATAACTATTAAAAAACATCAATAGAAATAAAAGAAATGTATTATTTGGATATTCTTATGAAATGTTACTTGAAAACAAAAAATGACGAGAATGTTTTATGTGATGCTATAGAATGAAATTTTTTATGATGAATGATAATTTTTTGTTATAGAACATTTTATTATCCGCTATATAAATATATTAAATATCCCATCATGTATATCACACTTGCAAACATTACTTTCAAGTATAATTTTTGCGGTTTGTTGTTATATATCTGATACTAGTAAATACTTTAAGGGTAATTATTCATTGTATTAGAGACCTTCCATTATAGACCAATTCACTTTAAACAAGTTGTTATTAAATAAAATTATATTATGCAAGCTTCTGGCAAACACAATATTACTTTATTCAAAGATTTCAATAAATTTAGTATTAAAGCTACAGGAATGTATTCAATTCAAATATTCTTTTAACCACATATCCAAAATCACTCTTTCATTCACACATATATGTTTTTAATTGAAGGATTCATTATTAAAAATTGGCAATTCATGTACATGACAAAAAAAAACATTGTGAAAACTTCAGTAGCATAAGTTGGATCAAAATAAATACAAATACGGAACATTTTGTTCTGTTTACGTACAATTTTCTTGTCTGTTAAATAAATATCGTATGGCTCTCTTAAGAATCAACCATAAAATTAAATAAAACTCTATTTTATGTGAATAGACTTTATCAAAAATTTCAATATACCCTTTAAAGTTCAAGATAAGATAATTGCTATATTTTTAACCAGGAAAATTTTTGTTGTTATTAGATTGGTGGATTTCGTTGGGCAGATTGGGTATGAATAATTTCGTTTGTGTGCCATTCCTCCTACATTTCTCATTACATTTTAATCTAACTTTCACAGAATAGTTTTCATTAAGTGCCGTCAGGATTTTATTACTTGATTGTGGAATCTTATAGGTCACCCCATCATGAAAATGCTCTCAGCGTACAATTGTCAAAGGGTACTGTGGTTTTTCTTTTACATGAAGGGACTGGAAATATTCTTTTGAGATTTTTACTTCTTAGGTATATACCAATTACTTATACATGTGCAAAAATCAGATCATTTGCTCATTCTGTTTTGACAGAATAATTTTTTTATAATGCATTATGACCAAAAAAAAAAAAAAAAGGAAAAGCGTTAAAACTTTTTACAACAGTCTGGCTTATGAATTCACAATTTAATTCTAAGTATATTATTTTTTTATCATCATTTTCATATTTTTCTCTTTTAGGTTCCCTAAGATTTTCAAAGTTTGTCTTTTAGGCTTTTGGACCTCAGTGGAGTCCCTTTAAAATTTTCTACTGGGCAATATAATCTGACAAAATATATTTTACACTAGTTATGTAGGAGTTATTTCCCCTTGATACTCAAATTTCCTTTTTTGTTTGTGAATAGAAACTGTCATAATATCTATGTTCAACATGCTTTAAAACAAATCAAACAGAATCCATTTATTTAAATCCTGTTTATTTCAAGGACAAGGTCAAAAAAATCAATTGCAGCACTATTTAACATTTCATAACCCAATTTGTTCCGGTTGAATAAAAGCAAATTGTTTCCATTTTAAACAGTCGTCTCTAATTTCAAAATTGATTTATAACTTCATTACTAACTGAATTAAATAGCATTCATGAATGATGTAATTTGTTTACTTTGGTTTTTGCCAGAGAGTTCACAACAGTACTGTTCAAACCACTAACTTCTCAATCCCTACATGAACTTTGGATTCTTTCATGTGAGGAAGCTATCCAGCTAGCTTATGGAACGTCGATGATTCTACTCCGGTGCCCGTCCATGCCTGTAATAGTGCTCGGAAGGGCACCTAAGGTCTTCCTCTACCAGTAAAGCTGGAACACCACCATATGACTTATACTGTGTTACATAAACCCAGTCAAACAAATAAACACAACAGTACTGTAGGTTGATAAATTTTTAACATTTTAAACATTTATTGTTGGGTGTGAGTATGTGTGCAATCTGAGCATTAGGCCAGCCTGCACATCTGTGCTGCGTGACCTACAAATTAATGGTGGCAGAGTTGACTTTAACAAGTTGTTGACTTTAAACCACTTGCCCTTAACTGTTGTGGGTTTGAATCCCTACATGGACTTTGGATTCTTTCATGTGAGGAAGCTTTCCAGCTAGCTTACTTTGCAAAAAGTTGGTAGTTCTACTCAGGTGACCACTTGTGTCTGAAATAATGCAAAAAGGGGTACTTAAGGTTGTTACCCACAATCATCATAAAAATTGACCTCTACTGTGTTGTTTCAACATAAAACCCATCCAGATAAAAAACAATACAAAAAAAAACAAAAAAACAATTGCATAATATTGTTATTATGTCATTCTTTATTGTCATTTATAAAATTTTCAAGAATAGAAATAGACAGTTCTAAACTAATAGCAGAAAAAAATTGATCCTGCATCACTTTTTAATCAATAATGGATAGTTCTAAATTCGAAGCAGGGAAAATCCATTGAGAAAAAAACAATTTGATCCTGCATTACCTTAAAATCAATAATGGATAGTTCTAAATTCGAAGCAGGGAAAATCCATTGAGAAGAAAACAATTTGATCCTGCATTACCTTAAAATCAATAATGGATAGTTCTAAATTCGAAGCAGGGAAAATTCCATTGAGAAAAAAACAATTTGATCCTGCATTACCTTTTAATCAATAATGGACAATTCCAAATTCAAAGCAGGGAAAATCCATTATGATAAAGGTTAATGAACAAGTAATGCTAATGTGCGACAACGACGATGACATAGTGCAACAAACATTTTGACGTGTTCCTTAATTATTGATTTATATATACAACAAGTGGTTAAGACTAAATCGTAAATTGAAAATTTTAAATGCATTTAAAATAATGATGTTCGCACCTCGAGGGGATAAAATAAACGTTAAAATTAACCAAGCCAGGAAGTGTATATGTGTACATCTATATATACGATGTTAATAAATAATTCATTGGTGTTTGAATATGTACTGACTGTGTTCACTAAATCCTGTAACATAACAAATATAGGGAAGTAACTACTTGATGATATATATGTATAGGAACTGATTTTCTTGCCATCTTTATTGTTTTCGTTGCTCGTAAATAAGCATCTTTGTATGGAATATTTTGTTTTATACATTCATAATTGGATAGTTGGTTTGTAAAATATTTCTTTAAGGTATGTAACTTCGGTGTTGTATTTTTTTTGTTGTTGTTTTTTTCACCATTGAAAACAAATGTATTGATCCTTTTATAGCATGCAGCAGAAGTGCTATTTATAGAAATGTTTCTTACTTTCGTTACTTGCCTGCAACCAGTGCAGTACTTATTTTGAAAATTTCCATAAAATTGATGAAAGTTTTGGTCCTCAATGAAAGTTGGACAAGTACAGTTAAGATATTTAGCTTGATAAGCAATATGCATGTTCCATAGTTAAGGTGAAATACTCCTTACAGGAATCGGTAAAACATATGTAGGTAGCCTCTATTCTATGAAAATCTATCTCAGAAAGAGGCCTCTGTGGCTGAGTGGTTAAGGTCATGGACTTCTCACCACTTGTACCTTACTGCTGTGTGTCTGACTGTGAGGAAGCTATCCAGGTAGCGTACGGAAGGTTGTAGGCTCTATACTTGGGTACCCTGACTTGTGCTTGAAATAATGCATGTAGTGGCACCTGAGGTCTTCCTTCACCAGTAAAGCTGAAGAGTTGCCACTTGACCATTATTACATTGTTCATACGACTTAAAACCCAGCAAAAAAAACCCACAAAAAAAAAAACATGCATGAATTAAGGAATTCTTTTAAACATATTTTTAATTTTTAATAAATAAGACTTTTGACAAGTTAAATGAGTTTTATGATTGCTACAAAAGATCTTTTAGTTATATGACCCAAAGCAGTTCATGTTATATAAGCTTACAACTATTTATACTGGGTCATATAACTTGTCAAAAAGTCTTTATAAGTTATACTATACTGGAGGCATAGGAAAGTTAATACTACAGCTAGAGGTCAAAAGGTCAATTATAATAATAACCTTTAATTAATTAAGTTATAGGTTGTATTCTACCATTGATTTTTTTGTCCATTCAGATGTGATGTATGTAGATGATAATGTCTGAGCCTTAGTGATGATAAAAACTTCTAATTATAAATGATGCCAATAAAAAGTCTGGTCAGTCCTGTGCAGCCAGACCAGACTGTGTATATATTTGGCTGCTTGAGATGCTGAAATTTCCTATAATAACAATGAACACATCCAAAAATCAAAGCATAAGTCGTCTGCTAAACAAATGTAACAAAATAAAGATTGAAAAAGCCAGTATTAATAAGGTTTGTTAATGACATTAAATGACCTTGATAATTTTACTGTATAATGAAACATCCGCAAACTCCTCTTTTCTCCATCTTTCTCTTTATTATTTTCTTTCAATTGCATACATGTATTTGTATATTTTTTTTTATTATTCTTTCTTCGTTTTTTTTTCTTTATAGGGTTTAATTAAAATTATGATAAGCCATGTATAATGTAAACATATTGCTTTTGTTAAAGGAGAGGACTACCATGAGCTATTGTAGCTCTCGGTCCAATTCCTTTCTGCTTAAATTGTAAATTATTAACATGTATATATTATCTGAATAAAAATATGTTTAAACCAAAGCATAACTCGTCGGCTAAACAAATGTAACAGAATAAAGTTGAAAAAGCCAGTATTACTAAGGTTTGTTCATGAGATTTAATGACCTTGATACTTTTACTGTATTCAATCAAATTTTGAATATTTACAGACAAAATTAACAGACTTATGGCATATACATTGTACCTTACCAAAAGCTAAATATCTTAAATAGGCTTGTCCATATTTCAATCTGAACAAAACCATTCATTATTTTTAGGGTAAATTTCATTCTATGTATATGTTGGAATTATAATGTCAAGGACCAAAACCAAAAGGCAGAGCTACCGAACCAAAAGACAGAGCTTATAATATATTGTTTGAATAAATTTACATTAAAGGACCAAAAGGCGGAGCTTATGATATGCTGTATGAATATACATATATTTACATTATAGGACCAAAAGGTGGAGCTAATAGTATATTGTATGAATTTATTTACATTAATGGACAAAAATGCGGAGTTAATAATATATTGTGTGAATAAATTTGCATTATAGCACCAAAAGGCGGAGCTAATGATATACTGTATGAAGATGTTTACATTATAGGACCAAAAGGTGGAGCCAGGAAGTTGAACCATGATTATTCTGTAGAGACGGAGTATTTACCAAGTATGGATCCCCTTCATGGCAGCCTTAATATAACCTCAACATCTGACACACGCAGTATAGAAACAGACGCTGACAAAGAGGTGAGAATCCGGATTTTTGTTTTCCCATTTAACTTACTATGAATGATACCTGTAAAATTCAGTTTCCTTACCACTGTAAAATTCAGTTTCCTTACCACATTATTAGGATCTCACAGCGGCTGCTGGTACAGACTGGAATATCTAGCTTGAGGGTAACTGTTTACGGCAGTAACAATGCTCTGCTATGTTAGATATTCCTGTCTGTGACAACAGCTTGTGTTTGATTCTTTTTTTTTGCATATTACATATTAATGACATAACGGAAAAAAAATAGGAAAACTAGAAATTCCTTTTTCTTATAGTAGCGTTTGAAGTTACAACTTTATTCATAATGACAAAATTAATGATGTCATCCTAAGAATGCCATTCATTCATAAAAGGCATGCAAGAATGACGTCATTTAAAACACATGACTTGTCTTACATGGGGGTGTAAAACAGGATTTTCTAGCACCTGTGTAAACAGTAGATAATCCTGTCTGATATGCAAGAATACCATATAATATTTTATACTCCAGTTCATTATGAATTAAAAGCTATATCATTGGATTCATTGGTTGCATGTACATACTGTATGCTGGTAATAAAAGAGCTGAAATGTGTGCCAAAGGGATGCTACTCTGCCTTTACTAAATAATAGCTTGCAAACTGGATTGTTTCCCTTGTTATTGCATGTTGGTTGGAAATCAATGAAATGGCATGTTTGGGGGGGGGGGGGATTTATTATTTATTTGTTGTTTTTGTTGTGGTGTTTTTTTTCCTGCTTGCATTGTTTTAAGGTTCAAAAACAGTCAATACTGAAATTGTATCATGATTTACTAAAATTGTTTAGTAATTTGAATAAGGAAGAAAATGGCCATTGTGAATGCACTTTTTGTATGACTTTAACATAAAATGCTAGTTAGTTTGAGTCACAAAGTTTGATTTTAAACCGATAAAATTATTCATTTATTTATTTTATGCAAAACAAAAAAAAAAAGATTATTTTTGATGATTCCAGGTGAGTATATGTTTTGCTATGATTTTTGTGTCTATCTAAAAAAACAAAACAAACTTGCCTGGACAATATGGTGTATATCTGCAAAGTGTGCTAAGTCATTGTGTTGCTTTTGTTTTTACTGCAAAATAGCAGGAGAATATGTTCAACTTTCAAGCATGTCATAAATGCTAATGTCAAAGTCCCTACTTATCCCTGGGCGGGGAGTTGGGGTGGCAATTCAGCTCACAATTGACTTCTGCATTAGTTTTTTTAAAAAAATTGGGCGTGGGTGGGGTGTTGGATAGAATCTGAGGATTGTGATACATTTTGAGTACTGACTGTAATTTATGAGTAATTATTATAATTATACTGATTATTTTCAGATGTAGAATTTGTTTTATTTTGATCATCTCGAGTATAG